CTATTTAGAGCAATTTCTATAAATTCAATGGGATTCTCAGAAACATACTTCGTATATCGTCAATACTGTACTAATATTCATGCAAAATATTCATTTTATCTCAATTCTCATTTTATATACTCCGTATATTATACTTGCAGTGATTGTTTAGGTACATTTTCTCAACAATTGAAATCTGGTATAAATCCCTTGACTATGTTGTTTTGATTCATTAAACTTTAATAACTTATCATATCAGATAGAGACACACTAAAGAGATGAGCGATTGAGCGGTATATTCTATACTACGTATTTGACCAACTCAAGAGTCTCCATGTCAAGACTAGTTTGGTCAAAGTCTATAATTGCAACATACTAGTAATATTTACACTCTTTTAAAAAGTATTTATCAAGTCTAATTTGGGATCGATTTATTATCCCTATATTTTTTTTATGTAGTATAAATTTTCAGACTACTTATTTTTAGGGAAAATTACGAAAAATATACTTGTGTTTGAACTAGCATATAACCTCGATAAGTTCATATTTTAACACGCATTTAATGAGTATTGAGATTGAGTTTGGCCACTTTTCCTAATTTATTTGCGTCACTAAGCGTTCATTTAGCTCAAGTCACGTTTTACCGAGTTTGGTTTGCATTCGTTGAAGAAAAGAAGGAATTCGGGCCCGGCATCAGCATTTGAGCTTAAGTTGAGGAGATTCGGGATGCGTTCGAGAGATAACAAGATGCATCACAGGTCCATGGGATGATTTAGAGGCATGATTCGAGGTTAGAAAGGTCAAAGATTGAAGATAGCACCGATTGGGAGCAAACGGGGAAGAAAAAAGCAAGAATATGGTTCAAGAGACATCCGCACGCCCCGCGGGTCCGTACCGCACGCCTCGCGGGTGATTCTGAGAGCTAGAAGTCAAAAAGTCTGAACCGCACACCCTGCGGATGATCTGCACGCCCCGCGGTTCAAAAACATGCTTCAGGAGTGCCCACACGGTTGTAGCGTGCGGGATCCGCACATCGTGCGGGCGGAGCAAAAATTTGATGCTCGGAAGTCCGCGCTGTTGCCCGCACGGATGACCCCCGCGGGTCGATTTTCACCCACTTATTCCGTTTTCTATAAATTCAGCCCTCTTTTGTTCGTTTTTCAGAATGGAGCTTAGAGAGAAAAACCCTACCACGTTTTTTGAGAACATTTCAAGCCTTGTTCATCAAAATTGTGGGATTCTTTGTAAGTTCCAACTTTTTAATTAATGACAATTAATTCTTTTCATCCCAATTGTGTTACTTCTTCAATTATGAATTGTGAGTAGTTTTAGTTAAGAATTTGAGATTGATGAAGAGGTTGGTCATGATTAGGGTTGGTTCGGTACGGTATACCGAAATTTCAACGTCATACCGCATACCGTACCGAAAATCCGGTATTGGTAAATGTCATACCGTTACCATACCGAAACTTTCGGTATACCGAATTTCGGTATACCGAAAATTCGGTACGGTATGTAACCCATACCGTTTTATACCGAAAATTCAAAAAATAAAATAAATTTCTTGGCAATTCCGTATAAAGTATTAGCTTAAGGGGCCTACCGAACATTCGAAAAAACTGATTTTAAGAAGTCAAAAGTAGCATACAACATCAATACATAAACTGATACCAAAACTAAAACACAATATTTAATCCAAAGTAGAAAATACTAAAATTATGTGCTAATATCTCAAGTCTCAACACAATCCATAATGAAAATTAGAATATTTATCCAACATAAATCAATGATAACTAATGTTTGTAATAACAAATCTTTGAATCATTGTTGCAGCTCCGTATAAATAAGAGATTTTTCTACTTTGGTAATATGATGGTCGTCCGCCGTATAAATATTTTATCAATATACTTTATCATTTGTTTATAAATATAGAATGAGCATAGACCAGATTGTTCATATTACCGGGATGGTTAAGCTTTAGCAAATAATGACGATCATCCGCTACTCCGTGCTTCGTCAATGGCGTCTTCGTCACTCGTCCGCATCTCCATCGTCAATGCTCAATAGTCCACAACTCTGTCACTCGTTGAAGAGAAGAGAAGCTGTTTGACTCTACGTTGATTTATTTGGGGAGAATTTGACTTTGCACCCCATGTTTTGGGTGATATTTGAGTTTGCACCCTATTTTCAAAATCATTAATGTGTGCACCCCAATTCACTATAAAATTATTTGACTTTGCACCCCACTCCTTCACAATTTTTGGGCTAATGGGGTGCATACATTAATTATTTTAAAAATGGGGTGTAAAGTCAAATATCACCCAAAACATGGGATGCAAACTCAAATTCTCCCATTTATTTGCTTAGGGATTTAGGCTTCTACTTGGGAGAACTAGAGAAGGGCCGTAGTATTATAAGATGGGTTATTTTAATTTTGGGCCTTGGTATTTTAATAATTTCATTTAATGAGTTTGGCCCTAAAAATTTACAAATTCTATTTCGGTATATCGGTATTTCGGTATATACCGTACCATACCGAAAATTAACGGTATTTCGGTATATACCGAAATACCGAAAATTTAAAAAATCCATACCTTTACCGTACCGAAGTGACCCGGTATGGTATCATACCGTACCGAACTTTTCGGTATACCGAAAATTTCGGTAAATTCGGTATTTTTCGGTATGGTATGGCCGGTATACCGAAATTTCGGTATATTTTCCCACCCCTAGTCATGATGTATGGCTAGTTTCTTGATGGATTAATTGCATGAATCTTTATTTAATTTGTGTATGAATGATTTAATTGATATCTCTTGTAACCTAGAATGACCACTAAGATTATAATTGCATGTAGAATAAATTAGGGAAAATTCTTGAAATAGGAGTAAAAAAATTGAAAATTCCAAAACAGGACTGTCATGTTTTTATTCCCAAAATAGGAGTAATTATTACCAAGTTTGAAAAATATTACCATGCTTAAAGTCTGGTACTGCCAAAATATCGCAGTAATTAGTCTTATTTTGGGAATAAAAATATAATAGTCCTATTTTGGAATATACAAACCGTTTTAGTTTTATTTTGGATAATTTCTCAATAAATTAAGAGAAATCTAATTTATCCTAGGACACTTTCACACACATTTATTCGTTCGCTAAGAGATTAGTAGCGGATAAGGGGTCGTACGCTCGCTCGTTTTGACAATAATTTAGCTACTTGTCGAATTAGAAATCAGCCTAGTTCCCTAAATTATTGTACTCTACGCCACGGGAGCGGTAAGAACTTCGTATTGACCAACGTTGCTCAATTAAATAATTTTCATGTGATTAAGCCTGATAAATCAGAAATCTGATTACCCCGGAATCAATCTATGTTCCATATCGTCATTAATTAGAAAGAACCCATTAATTTAATTGTTTTATTCGCATTTTAATTTTCCAAAAAATCCAAATCTCGCACATCACATTATTTTATTTTATTTTAATTGCTGAATTTATTTAATTCTTGATTCCTTTTTTCCGTCAATGTGGAGACGATACGAGTACTTATACCCTATACTGGTACATTATTTTAAGTGCAAGAAACTCACATGAGTTTTTGGCGTCGTTGCAGGGAACGACGTCAGTTTTAAGAGTTAATTAATTTCAGTGACTGTTTTTAGTTTTTTGTATGATTTTTTCTTTGCTAACCTTTCAGATATTTTTCCTAAGAATAATGAGATGGACAAATTCAGTTGATTCCTAAAAGTCATTTAATTACCCCTGAGCTACGTACGCTCATTCCTAAAAGTCCGAACGAAGAAATTAGTACACAAAATATTCTGATAATTCATCTATTTTACGGATTCTGCATCAATAAAATTCCAATAAAAAATATGGGGAGGTCCCTCAAACCCTTCCTATCTCCACACTACTTTTATAATGGGCATATTCGATCATTAAGAATACAATTTATCAAGTCTCTTCAAAGTTGTAGGATACATTATATAAATCAGAGCAGTATATGTGGTGTACGTAAAAAGACTATGGGCATGTGGGCTTGCCAAATAATTTCCAGATTGACAATGCGAATTAATATATTTTTCATCAACTTCATTATTACCTCTAAACCACCTGTCATTCTGTATATCTTGTTCCGTGCAATGTTAATTGCACCACTAATCTCATCACATCAACATCCCAAACGTACACGCTACATATTAATAATGACAATATTTCATCATGCTTTTTTTTTTAAAATTCATCATACAATATAATACGAAGTACATAATTACGAGTCTAGCACATGCATTAGAAACTAAAAAAGGAGAAGAGAATGGGAGATGATGGTATTATATACCTTATTTAGAAAAAAGAATTAAAATTAATCTAAATTATTTAACACGATTAACTACTCCGTATAAAGTAATGCTCCACTTCTTTCAATTTTCAAACCGTATGATTAAATAAATTAGTACTCACTACAAGAAATTAGGTCTTTGTGTCGAGAAAAAGTCTACGCCAAAGAGCTAAAGTCGACGCAAATACGTTTTTTGCGTCAACATGTCGACGCAAAATGGTCGACGCAAATACCGCGACGCGAATAATGTTTTTGCGCCCACAACGTGTGACGCAATTAATAAAATATTATTCGCGTCGCCATATGGAGGAATAGATCTTCCGAAAGTAGTCATGCATAAAGTCAACACAAAAAGTGATAGTTTATTTGTGTCCACGCGCGTCGACGCAAATAATGCCATCATTTGCGTCCACTAGCCGACGCCAAAGCCGTGCAGTCCTTTTTTTAATATATTATTTGCGTCGATACCAAACACCCATTTAATAATTCCACATTGTCTATTGCTATTCATACACAACTTGTATTAACAACCAATGTTATCAAAACCTGTTCAAACTCCAATAATGTCAACAACACATAAATTCATTAAATGTCATAGTAAAAGTGAGTTATCCTACAACGAAGTTTCATTAATTCATTACAAACAACATCACAAAATGTAAACATAAGTAAATCCATATTCATCTTAACCAAGTAAAATGCATATTCAACTCGATATTATCAATCTTGATTGTCTTCATTGAGACTCTGATCTGTTTGGTTAGCACTTGATGTTGAATGAACATCATTTGCGAAGCTGCGTGGAGGAAGTTGAAAGCCAGGAATAGATTGTTGTAGGGCACGGAGCATGAGCTCTTGATTTGCTTTCAATTCACTTATTTGAACATCACGGTGGTCTTGGAACGTTGAAGTAGTGTCATCTTCCATTCGTCGAGATGCACCCTTTGATAGGGTAGGACCCACTCCACTTTGGCATCCGCGGTGTCTTTTCATGTTCTGGTTCATAATATCAATTTCATTTATTGAAGACCATGACCCTGTTTGTCCTAGATGTGTCTGGTACTCCTTGCTCATTTGAGTCTATCAAATTACAATTCATACAGTTACATATCATTATGATTACAATTAACAATTTTTTTTTAAATATACTTACATATTTTTCATGTGCTTCTTTAGTTCTCCATTCGCCACTACGAGTCAAACGTTGATCTTTCCAATTTTCAAGAGCCGAGTACTGCTCACCAGTTTCTGGATCATCCTTTTTAATATTCATTATAATTGTCAATATCCAAAATAACATGAATGATCAATAACTGACATTAACTTAAAATTAGTAGCTTGAAATTTTAACATCTGGTCGATCAATAATCACTACCACAACAATAAGGATTCTACTAGTAAATATAATCTATGCGTTTTAAATGAATAAATTCTATAAAACTGTCCAGGGTCAGAAGCACATGTCTTGATTAACTAGATATATTCTTTTTTCTTACTCCCCTCCTTTTACAATATCTATGCACATTATGTACTTTTTACCTATAGTTTATACTTCTCTTTCTTATGAAAGAGAATATTAAAGTTAACAAGTACTCCCTCCAATAAATTAGGGTATTTTCTAGGTAAAATATAAAATGTTTTGGTTAATATATCTGCATTACTTATATGCTTTATACTAAACAACAGTTTAGTGTAGGGAAGGCCGATAACTGGAAAAAGGGAGTATTAACATTTTTGTTCCTCCAATATTCTCCATTTCAGAATATCATCTAAAAATGCCTAATCTTCTGAAAATATAAGTAAACTCACCATTGCTATGGTTTTGAAATTAGGAAGTTGCTTATGTGTTTTGGGTAGAATCATGTTGTGCAGTGATTTAGAATTTCAGTCAATTATTATTTACATGTGTTATTTAATATTCCCTATATTTTTTTGTGTGTGATATGGGCAGTTAGTTGTTCAAACTTCTAAAATGCAGTAGTGAGCAGTCCCCTTTTAGACATTCTGACGAACACATTGGATACAACTTACTTCCTTTCAGTACACAAAATTGTTTAGAGACCTAGGAAAAGATCTTAAACTGTACACGTTCAATTAGTGAAATAATTCGATCGGTGGAAAACAAAAAATGTATCTATCAAAGCAATTCTATATCAGGACTGGACGCTTGATCAATCTATCTGTGATGTGTAGGTGGAGCTCATAGCAGGTTGTGGAACTCTAACCCTAAAAGGCTAAAACTCTAAAAGTAATAATACAATAAATTAACAATAACACACTATAATTATAATACATTAAAAATCTATAAAAGGAATAATTAATAAAAGTTACCTAAAGGAGAGCAAGAGCTGGAGGCGCAGGACCGCAGGAGGGTTCGCGCTGGAGAGCACATAGCGGCAAAACGGCAGAACAGCCGCCCGCCGCCGATGCAGGGCCCTGGAGGCTGGACGACGATGTGGACGACTGAAGAAGGGTTCGTGCTAGCCGCTTGAGCGCTTCAGCTTCTTCGGCTTCTATTTTTCTTCTTCGCACACTTGGAGCTTCAGCTTCTTTCGTTATGCGTATATCGATAAGGCGACACAAACAATGGAATTGTACAAGGCATGAGGGTGATTTTAATTAATGTCATTTGCGTACACTTGTCGACGCAAAAGAGTAGTTATTTGCGATCACTTTAGTCGGCACAAAAAGTTTGACGCAAATAATACTTTCTCGTAATTGTTTTTCGTTGTTGTGTACACAGATTGCGTAAAATTTGTGTGCAAATTTTATGTGCGATAAATATTACTCTTCAATTTTATTCAGTTTTAACTCTTCATGGAGAAATTGTGTAAATGGTTCAGATCTCAATTGATGAAGCTGAATATGGCCATACAAACATAAATAGCCTAAGTTGTAGTTTTACGGTATTTGGCTATTTGCGTACCCAGTCTCACGAACATTAGGTGTTGAATTGAATATGGTCAACAATTTTAAATATGATGGTTTTTGTAGGACTCTAAAAGTTGACCATGAAGCCACAATTAACCAAAGACTACTTGACTATTTATATTTGGGAAATTTCCCAAAATATGAGTAAATGAAGTTTGAAATTCCAAAATAAGACTATTATGTTTTTATTCCTGAAACAGGACTAACATACATGACAATATTTACTGTCATCTTGTAGGCGTGACTGCCAAATAGTTGCAATACAATGCATTTAAAATGACAGTATTTATTATAATTAATGACAGTATTTTTCATACATAACAGTAATAACTCCTATTTCGGGAAGAAAAAACATAGTAGTCCTATTTTGGAATTTCAAACCTCATTTAATCCTATTTAGGGCAATTTCTTTTTATATTTTTCAAATTAGTGAGGAGTAAGCACATTCATATAAGTAGTTTCAATAATCAGTAACCACCCATTTGTGTGAATAACCATTGAGTTATAAATAGTGGCGGACCCACCCTTCCACCTTGGGCCTGGCCCCCTCACATTTTAAAAAATAATGTATAGGAATATGTGTATATTTAATTAGTAATTAGAATATATTCTTCTGCTTTCATTGTGTATTACGGAGTATATATTTATGTGTGTAAATTAAATTTAAGTTGTGTATAATTCGCAAAAATAAATCTTAAGAAAATATAAATATGAGTAAAAAAATAATATGTTTCTCCAAATCATGAGTAATTATTATTGTCTTTAAATGATAAATATTGTCAATACTTGCATTTATAATGCCATTATAGTATATTGGAAGAACTATCAAATAAGCACTCGAACTTTCACAAAAAGTGCAAATAAGTCCTTTTATAGGAGGTTATGTCCAACCGTCGTCATTTGGGGCGGTTTCCGGTGGAATTTTTTGATGAAATTTTTTCATGCATCTTCTTCATTACGTCTAGTTTACTCATACCAAATTTTATCTAAACATTCAATCGGGAAGACAGTCAAATGAATTTTTGAAGATAATTGCGCAGTTAGGCAGCGCAGTATATTTCGGAGAATCATTCGACTGCCTTCTAGATTGAATTTTTAGATGAAATTTGGTATGGATAAACTAGACTTAATGAAGAAGATTCCCAAAAAAAATCATCAAAAAATTCCACCTAAAACCTCTCCAAATGGCGACAGCTGGACAAAGCCTCCTGTAAAGGGGCTTATTTGCACTTTTTATGAAAATTTGAGGACTTATTTGATATATTTGATAATGTCAAAATACATCAATGTAGTTTCAAGATGCATATGAAAGTAATTAATTCCTATTGTAAAATTGAAAAATATAGTGCTCATAAGTTTCATACTACGTACTCATACTAAGTTTCAAGAGGCACTTTTTATAAATTAATATGGAGTATTATTATATAGTTAATTTTAACTATATAATTCAAATCAAAGAACACGGCGTAGCTAAACTAATAAAGCAGTTTTTTAAGGAACTAATTAAAACAATGCCAAGTACATTGTGATATGATATGATGACATTATTGTGACATTTAGAGAAGGTTACTGGTTCATATCTAATCTCAGTTCAAGAATGTTGATCTTAACATAGAACATATACGATAATAAGTTAGAAAGATTTGTCAGAAAAAGGAACTAAAACATGTTTTCTTTCATTACTCTTACATGTACCAAATTAATTCAATCTTACACAATATATTATTTTGGCTCATATTTGTCAATAAAAATTCTCAAAGTTAAAAGAGAAATTTTCTTGTATATATCAATGATATCATTCACTCCTTAATTATTTTTTAGTGTTTTCCTCTTCTAATATGACTAATTAAGTCACATTTAATTAATTTTAGGTAGAAAATATAGTTAAATTAATTTATAAGTTTTCCATGTTTTACTCCTGTTTTGAGCAATTATATAAAATGATTTCATCATATTTCTAAAAAATGGACAAGTAACTAAGGGGGTGTTTGGATTTGATTCTTAAAACTGCTTCTGCCCCTTTAGGGACCAGAAGCAGAAGTTGGAGTGTTTGGGTAAAAGTGCAAAAGTGATTCTGGTGCTCTAATTTACTCCTAGAATCAGTTTTTTAGAAGTTGGGGGTGACCAGCTTCTGAAAACTGATTTCGATTCTGCTTCTACTTTAAAAAAGAAGCAGAATTAGTTCCAAACACCCCCTGATACTTCAAGAGTGAGGTTTAGAGAGAGGAGCGGAGGGGGGAACCGTAGCCTCAGTTCCTCTTCCTCCTCCTCCTATTGTTTTCTTGTCCTCTGTCTATTTATTTATTTCTTAGTGTTCTCTAGAGATGTTATTTTCGGTGGTGAATTGTCGTCTGCCGGATGTATATTCCTTGCCGTCATTGTTCGGGTGTTCTTGTGTGCTAGTAATAGTTTATAGTGGTTTCTTCATGAATAATGAATTTGGATTTCTTATCCATCAATATTGAGGTCGATTGCTCCCTCTTGAACCACTGTCGATCCAGGGAGATGAGATTGCATGAATTACTTTCTTGGGGATTTTACACAAATAAACTAAAAAATAAAAGTAATATTACTTTTTTCAACTTTTGAAATCTTTTTCAAAAATAGAGTAGGTAAACTTTTTCTTTCAAAACTAGACCTCATGCATGAAGTTCAAATAATAAACATAGGATGTGAAAGAGTTGAAAGTAATATCAACTATTATATATCAAAGTAGCCAAAGTAGCCATATCACCGTATGAAGCTTTTTGAAAGTAATATCAGTGCAAAAATTATACAATTATGATATAAAATCTACAAAGCTTATAAACATATAGGAAATTGAAATAATTATACACACTAAAAATTAGAATGGCACAAAAAGTAAAAAGAGTATGTTAAAAAATATAATAAATTGATAAAAACCAGAAATAATTTGAATAATTAATCAACTACAAAGTTAAAGTAGACAATACAAATATTTAAGAAACAATATATATATTAAAAAAATAAATTGAGTAAAATACAATCTAAATTATAAACGAAATACATTAATAAAATAAAATTTTTAAAATTGAGAAAATAATAGAAATATGGTATATAAATAAAAAAGTCAAATATCATACAATTAGAATAATAAAATATGTAAAAAAATAGAAAACATTTAAAATGTACAAAAATGAAAAACAATTATACGCAAATATTTCAAATTGAAAATAAATTAAAAAATTGTTGGAAAAAATAAACTGAATACATATTTTAAATATTAGAATTTCTATCAATAGTAAAAAACGTGAATAAAATATTAAGATATACTTCATTCAAAAAAATGTTAAATAGATAAGATGTCACAAAATACAAAAACTAATTTTTATATTGATTTAATTTAAACTATTAACATTTTAATTTTTTTATAAGTTAGATTATTTAAAATTGTAAAATAATTATTATTTAAAAATTTATTAAAATATTTTTAATACTATTATTACTATTATTGTTGTTTTGATGTTGCCTTTTGTTGCATTATTTTTTATATGGTTACTTTTTGGTTCCTTTGGTTTCCTTTTGTTTCTTTTTGTTGATGAGTTTTCATATTTTGTTTCTTATTGTTTATTTTTTATTTCTTATTGTTTATTTGTGTTTCTTGTGATTTTATTATATGAAATTTTGTCACTACACACACACACATGTAGAGAGTGTTTTTGTACCGACATAGAAAAACAATTGAAAACATAAATAAAAAATCAAGAAAAATAATAATAATAATTAGACATTGACCAGTATCAACAAAAAGCAACAAGATGCAACGCAAAGCAACAAGATGCAACAAAATAAAACAAAGAGAAACAAAAAGTAAAAAAACATACAATATATTCATTTAAATTTGTTTTTTCGTATTCAATTATTAGAATTGCAAATAACACTACCCAATATTTAAAAAGTGTACAACCAAGCTTGCTTTCTAATATGTGGGTATAAATTTACAAGTAGACTTGGGAAAGCGGTTAGTCTCTACTCTGTACAATTAAAAATCAATCTGCAACGCAAAAGTTAAGTTGAAATATACAACCGGTTACTCTACTCTTCATAATAAAACCTTTATTATTGTAATTATAATAGGAATAAGTAACTAAGTAAGACTACTGAAGAAGTAAACTAGTAACCATGATTTACAGGAATGACATTGAGCAATCCCATGAGAAAATTCTGGTTTGTTTACAGTAATATGCTCTTCTTTGTACCATGTTGGTGACTGAGGAGCATACTCAAAGGGGCGGATCAATTAGACGCTTTTCATATGTAAGAGCTGATGGATGTTGAGTCCTACTTCACTAAGAAGATACTTTACCAATCACTCAAGTTATATGTGTCCAGATACTCTTAAGGATAAAAACATTAACATCAATATGAATGACATACACCTCTAATATACCTCTAATTTCATAAGAGAACAGACCTGCGAAATAGTGAAATTTCCTTTATGTGATGGTAGTATATGTATATTACACTAATGTAAGTGGAATCAATAATTGAAATCACATGACTCAATTATTAATAAGATTAAGAGCTTCTCAAAAAGAACAGGTTGGATCATCTATTTCATTCTCGCTCTAAAAAATAGACTAGTCACGGTATAAACAAAGAATCAATATATAAGAATTGATATTTTCCAGAGATGCAATAGTTGGTGTAGTATGGTTAAATCACAGTAAGGTACCTTCGGTGGCGATGCAAAATTGCAAATGCTAAAAATGTTAAATATAAGATAAGATGAAGTTAGAATTCATAAACCTTAAGTACTCCAAAATAGATGACCGAGGTTCTCAAGCTTGGCATAACAAGTTTAAGAATGATTTTGTCCAACTAAAGTTGGACTTAACGGGTAATTACCACAGTAGAAGAATGACGATTAAAGGGTTGGAGATGCTAAATTTATCAGAGCTATTGAGATCTATGTGAGGAAGAAGTTCTTGGTGTGAGGATATGGGTGAAGAGCTTGTTCCTATTTTGAAACACTCAAGTAGTGTCCACTTGAGATAAGTGATCGACCTTAAATGTCGGTTTAAACATTTATAAAAAACAAATACAGAGTAATAAGTAGAATGGTAAGGAGCAAAAAACATGAATGATTAATAGGATAAGTCGTGGAGGAGATAGAAATTAGACATATGGATAGCAATTAAGTAATTGATTGATTACGAATTAACTGATTATATATAACAAAGTTGAAGATTGGATTAGACGTATGAATCTGGAGCCTCTTAATTTTAGGAATACGAGGAAATGTGTTCTAGATACGAAAGTAGAGAATGAAGCTAGATGAGATGAATTTGAAAAAGCTGTAATGAATATCAAACACATATATGCAAATCAGAAACCAACAAACAATCAGGTCGCCATTCAACGAGCAGCGGAGTAACCGAGCAAGCAGGGGCGGTGGCCGGAGGGTGGAAGGCAAAGCGTGGAGTCCTAGAGGACGGATTACGGAGGGCGGAGCGCGGAGGTCGGAAGCGCGGAGGTCGGAAGCGCAATCGGCGCTGAGCAGAAGGAACAACTGCACTAGCTTGAGTGCTTCTGTTCGAATGACGTGAGTAAAGACGAACAATGTCTGGGCTCTAGCAAACGATGATGGGTTTTGATTTAGGATTTAAGTTATTTTTGAAATATAAAAATTAAAAGTGAAAATGTCAATAGTGGACCTAACCGGATGCTTCCACTACTTTCTTTCTGGTGGCTGGTGAAACCAAAACAAATTCTGCACTTGACTTCTTAACGAATAAGATCGCCTTTATAGGTCTTTTTTGTTCTTTGTCTCACCCCGTGTAGCTTTTAACGCTAAGATTGTAATGCTTCAACTTTTGATTGTTATGTTTCTTGATACCCTTATAATAATTAAGTTATTTGTAACCTTTGAAGGAATATGTTTTTTTCAATCCACATTACTAAATAAAATATGTAATGTACATATTGAATCTCATTATATTTAAATCGAATTGGAAAGAATCA